ATATAGACTTTTACCAGTGGTTGAAAAAAAAATGCTTTAACTCAATTGGCTATAGAAAAAATGTGACGCTCAGGAAAGGGCTCTGTAGAAAATATAATAGACATTGGGCTGTATGAGTTTTACCAAGTATTCCTTGTTGCTCTGGAGAGGTGGTAACTTGCATCACACAGGACCGCCCAGAGGATTCAGGGGGCCTGGGGCAAAGCAATTTCGGGGGCCCCTTCCATAAAAAAAAGTTGCAATACTATAGAATGCTATAGTCTCGTGGGGGCCCCTGCGGGGCCCGGGGCCTGGGGCAAATTGCCCCACTTGCCCCCCTCTCTGGGCAGCCCTGGCATCACAAACCTTTCCCTGGGTCCCACGCTGACCTGCCTGCTCCTTCCACTGTCCCACCCAGTCTCCTCTCTTTTCCTCAGCATAAACCTCAGTCCCATAAAGAAGCTGCCACATTGTCTGTATTCAAAAAGAGGGTTGGTGTCTTGGAGGCAGCTGAGCCCTCCTTTCATGCTCGGTGATAGCAAGGCAAAAATGCACCTGAGTCTAAGGGGATTATTCTGGGTCCATATATTTTACATTTTCCTGGGCTAAAAATAGAATTTGTCATAACCTAATCACAATAGTAACAAAATAAAAATGAAATTATTTGTAAACAGGAAACTCTCCTGTTATTCCACATGTAAAATATTCATGCAGTGGAAACAGTTCATGTAGCTCAGGACTTCAATCAGCTCCTTGAAATTGTCCTTACCACCTTAGTTTTCCCCTGTCAGTCAGTGCCAAAACTATGAATGCCCTAAAGATATTGTTTAAAATAGTATCACCAAAAAAAAGTACATGTTAACGTGAGCTTATCCAATGTTAATTGTAGACACTTTTATAAAAGCATTAATCCTATCCCAACCCAAATCTATACTCAATCAGCTTCCTTATAGAAATTATCATTTATTCACCACACCCAAGAATTTACTTCAAATGATTTGGGTATTGAAAATTTGAGACACTTTGAAATTAATTTTCATTACTTTGTTTTGAAAACCTGCTAACTGCCCAGAGCATCATTATAGCTGTAGAAGTCATTGCATTAACAGTAAATCTACAGGAGAAGAATCCCTTGAGGGATTTCAGTAGTGTGTAGTATCTTCACCTCTAATTCAAGGGAAAATCTATTAACATCTGAATTAATGACGACCATCAGTCTTGAAGACCATTACATACAAAATGGAATCACTTTCAGTCTGTTTCTTTACAAATTTGCTCTTAGTGTTTGAATGAACAAAACAAGAAGGTGACATATAAACTAAATTATTGAAATCACATTATACTGAAAGAGCAATTATGATGTGAAAAGCATTTCTCTTTGCAGAATAGTAGATATTAAAATGCAGTATTTTAAGCAAGCCTCCTTCCAGAGATGATGACCCCTTGATAGACCAGACACTATAATGTTATCATTTTGTGGCATGTATGATTGCACTGTATTTTATTTAATGTAGCAATTCTCCCTACCCAGATTTTGATGCCTCTGTTTAAACCACTATTGAAACTAGAAGGACAAACTGAAATATGGATGAATTATCAGTAAGTGTGAACTTCACCCACACTTACATCATTTAATGTTTGACTTGACTTGGAAATAAGGAATTCTATTTTTTTTTAAGTTAGAACTAAGAAAATTAAAGACTTTTATTAAATGCTCCAAATAAAAACAAGACAGATACAATGCCATGGTCTAGATTATTGTTTAATTTCATATGAATGTGCTAATTCTGAAAAGCTTGATTTGATGTTAACCTATTAACTGCCTGCTTTGGACCATGCAATTTCAAATATTTTTTTTAAATACTCTAAAACCCAGAAACTCTAAATTTTGATAAGTAAAAGGTATCTGGGGCCAGTGACAAATGTTGAAAACATTTTAGATGAAATCTCTTGAGTTGGTGCAGCTATTAACATTTTCCTGAAACAAATCAACAATCACATTCCCAAACTCCTTAAAAGATTGAACAGTCCGTTTTAGAGATTTTTAAATGACCTGGGTGCTGCTGATAAACCAAGAAGCATGATTTAAAACCCCCCATCTCCTATCAATCATAGAAACCAGAGGATTCTTTTTTTCATATGGCGATTGTCTGGAAAACTTAGAAAATAATGTACAGTAACTCCTCACTTAAAGTCGTTCCGGTTAACGTTGTTTTGTTGTTATGTTGCTGATCAATTAGGGAACATGCTCATTTAAAGTTGTGCAATGCTCCCTTCTAACGTTGTTTGGCAGCCTCCTGCTTTGTCCACTGCTTGCAGGAAGAGCAGCCCGTTGCAGCTAGCTGGTGGGGGCTTGGAACCAGGGTGGACCTGCAGCCCCCCTATCAGCTCCCCGCTCCCCTAAGTTCCCTGTGCGGCAGCCGCCCAGCAAGCTATCAATTGCTGACAGTTCAGCTGTCCCTCCCCCCACTGCCATGTGCTGCTCCTGCCCTCTGCCTTGGAGCTGCTTCCGGGGGCCTCCTGCTTGCTGTGCGGGGGGGGGGAGGGGAAGAGGGAGGTTAATGTCAAGGTGTCCCCCTCCCCTCTGCTCCTGCCCTCCGCTTACCCCTTCTCCATACAGAGCAGATTGGAGACAGGACAGGGCTCAGGACGTAGGGAGCTTGCTGGGCGCAGCTGCTGTCTCAACTTGCTGATATACTTAAAAAGGCAGTTTACTTAGAGTGGGGTCAGAGTACTTAAAGGGGCAATGCACATATCTCTCTCTCTCCCACACACAGGGTGTGTGTCTCTGTCTGCCATGCTGTCTTCCCTTCCTCCATTCCTGCTGCTTTGTAGAGTGTGAGGGTACATTAACATCAATGTGTTAACTCTTGAGGACTCAGCCGAATGCTAGTTCATCATTTAGCAGTAAGGCATTCCCTGGGAAATATTCCACCCTCTGACTTCACCACCTCAACCAAGCTTCACAATCATCATCGCTGTGTACAGTATTAAATTGTTTGTTTAAAACTTATACTGTGTGTATATATTTTATATATTATAGGTTTTTTGTCTGGTTAAAAAAATTTCCCTGGAACCTAATACCCCCTATTTACATTAATTCTTATGGGGAAATTGGATTTGCTTAACATTGTTTTGCTTAAAGTCGCATTTTTCAGGAACATAACTACAACGTTAAGTGAAGAGTTACTGTAATTCTTTCAATGTAGTTTAGCTAGTTCTCTTGAAATCAAATACTAGCATACTTAGTATGCTTTCAGATATTTCATTTTGAATGAATGTGGCTTTCTATAATTGAAATTATTGGGCTAAAATTGGGCTTTAATCTTGAGGAGAGTTGTTTTGGAATATAAACAAAGCACTTTAACCTTTAGAAAAAACAATCAAAATACTTACTGATAAGGAATGGTGTATCTTTGTTTAAAGTCACCCTCACTTCTTGACTCAGCTTAATTGGTGAGAGACTTTTTTTTTTATTATTTTAACTGAATTGATAGACTTTAGCCCTTTTGGCATTTTATTAATAAATGATTTCAGAAGCTTCCTATGTTCCCTGAAAAACAACCATCTTCTTGATTGAGGGGTAATTTGAATTACTTGAATTGGGGAATAGTTACTCATGCAGTAACGGATTTTTCTGAACCTTTTCTGGTAAAGTCTAACAAAATTCAAAACAGAATGACGTGTCATGCTTGGTCTTTTGTATTAAACAGATATCAGTCTTATCATTTTGGTTTATGGATAGTGAAGTAGATCCACATCTGGATCCAGAATAATTTTTGACAAAATTAATGATTCACACTTTGTAGAACTGGTTTTCTGTTGAAATGTATGTGAACACAGACTATCAGAAATGATGTCTTCTTGATACTTCAATATAATTCAAGCTAATAAATCATAGGGGTGTGTGTGCATGCGCGTGTGTATGTGTGTGTGTGTGTGTGTGTGTGTGTGTGAGCGTACGTGTGTGAGAGAGAAAGAGAGAAAACTGAAATAACCTACCCTTCGTTACCTTGAGCCATGTAGAGGCCCAAATCTGCAAAACCTTATTAACATAAATAATCCTACAGATTTCACTGGGATTACTCACATGAGAAAGGGTTTGAAGTATAAGGCATTTAACAACAATAACCTAAAACATGTTTCTTCTACTAAGATTACTCTTTTAAAAAATAGGTTCAAGCTTAATCAAATGTGTGTCAAATCACCCTAATTTCAATATGCCAATTTATGTTTGTAATTACTTATACTGAATTTCTGGAAGAAAATTATGTAATGTATCTAATAATTTTGCTATAATAGAGCACCTGCAAACAAAGGCTTAAAAAGGGAAATTGACATTTGTATAATTAAGTATTGATGTTACAGGACAGTGACTTCTGAAAAGTCCACTGAAATTTTATATATATTTAAAAGAATATGTTAAATATTCTTAAACTGATTGTTGAACTTGGAGAATGTGGGGTGGGTGGATGGTCAGAAAACACGTATGTTTGTGTAATTACATGTGTGTGCTTGTGCATGTGGAGTAAAGTGTCTTGGCTGGAAACTGACCTGGATTTTCAACCTTAAGATCACTGTCTGAAGCATATAGATTTCATAGTCATCAGGAGTAGACATCTCAGTCACCACACTGTCACCACAGTCTGAAGGTAAAATCTTGGCTTTACTGAAGAAAATAAGAGTCATTGACTTCAGTGGGGCCAAGATGTCACCCCAGTTCTTCAGATTTCCAATCCAATAAAAAAATAAAATTACTTCAATTGATTATAGCAATTACTTCATTTCAATGCCCCTATAGTTTTGGTGCTGAAAATTCTGCTACCAAAGCATGCCATAGATTCATCATCTTGTCGTATCAGATGAAAATAAAAAATCAGGTCACTTAATATAAATTTTCAACAGTCTACCAAAAGCTCACATTCCCTGGTGTATAATTTGTCACAAGAAGATGATCAATACAATTTATTATCAACGGCAATTCATTACAATGACAGACAAATGAGCAATTCGTACAGTACCTAATGCTGCTCATGCTTCCAGTCTCTGATCCAAGCTTACATCTCTCCAGTTGGCTGGCTACAATCTGGCGTTCAGCCTCAAGTTCTCGAGTCAGTCTCTCAAACTGCAGCTCCTGAAACACAAACACAAACATTCACTCAATGATCTTTGCAAGAATCAGAAAGAATTTCAGTTTATGTGTCAAATTATAGCTTGTGAAATAAGTGTTACTATGACAGCTTCTATGAAAAGCTTCTCCCACCCCTCTTTTTAACACATTCACAGTCCAAATGTATACGATAACACCTGCTGGTTCACCCATAATTCTGATCACGTGCATTATAAATGGAGTTAGTTTATTTAGGGTGAAATTTTCAAATGAGCTTAAGTGACAGACTCATGTCAAAATTCCATCCTTAATGCATATGTTTTTCTTAATGGTGGTGTAATAGGTTTTCACTAAGCTGATACAAGGATGCTAAAACAAAAGGAGCAATTTTTGACATTTATTAAGACTCAGCTAAGGGATCTGTAGAGAATAATACATGGTGATAAAATCTTTTGTACTCAGCTATATATTCATCATGCAACATAATGCAGTATAGACTGGAAAAATATACTATAAGATAGAGGTAAGTATGTTTTTATTGGACACATATTGTTTAATTTCAGCATCTTGGTGTTGTGTTGGAGGTAAACTCTTGTGGTTTCAGAGCAGCCCCTTGTTAAAATCCTGCCACTAACTGATGGTAGGGTTAGGGTAATTTTCCCCGGTTCTCTGGATATTACCAAGCCAGAGACAACATAGCCATAGAGCTCATAAAATATTTCTGAATTTTTTTAAAATGCACCAGATTGCATCAAATGTAAGTTACCACCCCCCCACACAAACACACACATTCAACTCCCACAGAGCACTCCCCCCCCAAAACCAACCACATTACAAGGTGAGTATAAAATGAACACCCACTACAAGATCTTCAGTTTTCCATGGGCTGTCCGAACATGTAGAGTACTCAGTATATTTTTCAAGAACAAAGAATATTTCAGCAAAGTGCACTTATTATAAGTTTGTCAAGTTATGCTGCCTTTTCTCCTTGGTTATAGTTACGAGAAAGCTAGTGTATGTGGCTGGCCCTTTAATGTGAACTAGGTCCAGCCTCACCTGTGACAGATCAACTCCCTCCCAGCTGAGACTGATCATCCGAGGTCAATTATAAAAGCCAGCAAGTGGCTCAGCAGAGTAGAGAGTTGCCAGAAAAGCACTGGGTTGTGGGGGAAGAAGAGAGACACAGGCTGAGGTAAAAAATGTTGTGGGAATCCCTTGTTAAAATACTGGCAACACATCACTGCTGAATCTGTGTGTTCTCATGTACACAGTCTCTCTCTCTCACACACACACACAAAAGCAGAAACAAATTCAGTACTATCACACAACAAGTAGTCTGTGTGATGACTATTCAGTCGCTTGCACTGCATTTACCACCATAGTATCCCACATAGGGTGACCAGATGTCCCGATTTTATAGGGACAGTCCCGGTTTTGGGGACTTTTTCTTATATAGGCTCCTATTACCCCCCAACCCCGTCCTGATTTTTCACATTTGCTGTCTGGTCACCCTGATCCCACAACATTATACTTAATATACAAAACAAAACAATAACATGTTTGAGTCACCCTTCTGGATGACTCAGTAAAAACACTGCACCATTATTCACACAGAGTTCCCCCTCTCTCTGTTTTTCATAATAGTAACTAATTGATAAATGAACTAATTAAAAGCCTGGTTAAACAGAATCACTTTTTATCAAACCCTGACGATTGCCATGTTCTGTTATAGCAGTCAGTTACACTGATTTCTAAAATGGAAGAGCCCTAATCCAATGCCTAGTATTGTTCTAGACCCCTATTCTGGGAAAATATAAACGTCTAGCACTGAAAATAAGAGTCCCTAAATTCAATCCTGAGCTTCCCCAATCAACAGGGTCTAGCTGTATAGATCACTGAGCTCCTGTGAGGAAAGATCCCCTTCCCTGCATTGCTGTCCAGTAGCCTCCTTTGGCTGGTTAACGGAGTGGTGTATGATGGACTACAGAAACACACTTTCCTCCAGTCTTTATTAAAAAAAAACATGCAGAACTGAGCATTTGAAAGTGAGAAGGAAGTAACAGAAGGTTCAGGAAGTTTCACCCCTCCCTCCTGTTGCCTAGCTCCCAGGCCCAGGAACCAAAAGCAATCTGAGTGAGATTACATTTCTCTAATCTCAGATATGGTTCATTTCAGTTTCCAAGGTGATGAAATGATAAGGCTAGTTCTTATTTTATCCAATTCGGTCTCATCACCCCCCTTATACTTGGTAATATTGGCACAGTAAGCCCTGCATATAAAATGAGGCAGGATCTCAGCACAAGGTGAGAGTGGCAGGATGCAGACCAAGTGTACTTAAAATAGCCACTGACATTTGACGGAAGCCATTTTAAGTATTTGGTACTCAATTATTATTCCACTTAAGATTTGCCTGAATATGAATACCACCAAAATAGCCAGATTGTGTAAGGAGTGAAACCAAACTGATTATCTGTTGCATCACTACCCATATAATATGTGTTTAAATTCCATAAGTAATTATGTATGAACACCATAACAATGACCAATGACAACAAAAGTTACTCTGGTTCTACTACTTAGGTGCCACGTTTCACACTAGAGGTTGCTGCATCTTAGTGGCAGATGAAGTATTTTTAGAGTAGTATATGCAATTTTAAAAACATGTTGGGTCTTTAGTGGAGTTATGCTAGTGGTGAATTACAATACTTATTAGACAGTATAAAAAATTGAAATTAACTTCATGTTTATAGAATTCCCACTAAAGTCAATGGGATATGCATGCGCATATCTGAGGACAGAATTTAGTCCCATGTTACTGGGCTGTTTATTTTAAATGTGGAGGGGTTACTGTGTTTGTGTGTATTTACATTTTTCTCTGACTTTATTCAGCTTTTTATAGTTGCCTGCTTCATATACAATATTTATTTATTTGCTTACCTAGTAGAATAAATTATCCAAGAAGCTGAAAAGACTGTTGATCAACTTTGCAAGAACTATTACATGCATGCTCACAAGACATGAGCAATATATTATTCTTACTGCAGAGTTAGATTTAATACAATTTTTATTTAAATGTTTGGGAGAATAAAATCACAATAACATAACAGAGAACTTTTTCTACTTGCTACTGTGCTTGCATAGTGGATGAGAGCACTTCAAATAATGAGATTTTGAATTCATAAAATAAAAAAAAAACTACTATTATATAATGCAAGAAGTTCATTTTTTTCCAAATAAAAATTAAATTACACAATGGTTATTATGTAGTAACTAGGATATGTATTCAGACAAATGTATGCACCTTTGAAGATGAGGAGCTTTGTTCTGCAACTTGACACCTTAGAGGGAAGTTGGCCAGTCATTGAATTTGGTTTGGCTTATTACACAAAGCTCATTCTCACCTGCCCAATGAGAGAAATGCACAGATAGTCTTATACCTTTTCAGGGGAACTATAAGAATCAACGAAGACTCAGGACACCAGTATTTTGCCTGCCAACAATCTCCCTCCTCCTTCCCTTTCCCCAGCCCTGCCAGCGAGGATGGATTAAGAGAACACTTGGTATTAATCCATCAGAATTGTAAGGCTGCAAATGTATGTTCAAACTTATGCAAAACTTGATAAACAGTTTTTAAAAAGACAGGATTTGCCATTTCAAAAACATAACTGCTACACATGCCTCCCTGCTACTCTGGAACGCGGAGCTCTTACACACTTGCCATCTCATAGCTCCTCCAGTCTTCACCACAACCTGCTGGTCAGGAGGCCACTTTATAGCTCTGACTCAGACCAGTGCTCTATCTCGTCACCTCCCTGCAAAAGCAGGTAAAAGCAACAAGGGGGTCATGACAAAAGAGATTGCTTATTTCAAGGAAATGGATGTCTGATGCCATTGACACGTCCTCCTGCTGGGCTCAGCCCTGTCTACACTATAGTCATTAACTACTATTTCTATTGCTGTTAGCCCACCATGCTCCAAGCACACCCATCATTACTCCAGGGAAAGACTACTCCAGCTCCACCCATTCTCAGAACTCAACCAGGTTACAGCCCCAAAATATATCCAATAGACCCACCCTGGCTGGATGACACTGCAAGCCCTGTGCTGGTACATCTCATCTCCTCACGATATTCAGAAAATCACAGCTCTAGAAGGCAGGTGGCACTGCATTCCTCTTCTTTGCAACCATCAAATGCAAGAAAGATGCCTCAGGTAAGGCAATTTCATTTGAATTCATATTTATGACAGTAGAAATCAGCACCAAAGATAACACAGACTTTATACTCATTACAGATCACCACAGACTAATGGATTAATAAAAGGAGCTCACTGATACCTTGTCAGCCAGCAATGGTGGTGAAATGCCCCAGACTTGTCATCTGGGGAGATTTCAGCATGCATACTGACAGGGTCGCAGATGCAAAAGGCCAAAAACTCATCTCCTTATTTGCCTACCTAGGAATTTCACAGGTCAATTCTGGTCCAACCCACACAACTGGTCACACCTTGGACCTAATTTTCAGCCTAGATGTTAAGATAGTGGACATCACAACCCAGCCACTGTCCTGGACAGAGCATTACATAATTAAGGCAGTGGTCAGAGACCTTCCATCACTCAGGCAACAAGAAAGACCAATGACCCTGATTTGACCATAAAGTTTCATGGACTCAAGGAGAGACGAAAGCATGCTAAAGGACAACAACGCCTCATCCACAGGATGAGGAGTCGAGGACTAGGTGAATCATTACCATTCTACACTGTCAGACTTTGACATGCTAGCCCCCAAACTGCCTTTTCCTTCCCATTAACCCACAGATGTCCGTGGTTTTCTGACACACTGTGATATATGATGAGAGAAGGGCAGAAACTCAAGCACCAATGGTGCAAAACATAGGCTGATTGAGGCAGGATGAAACAATGAATTCTTCAAAGCCTATGCTATACTAAGTCCAAGAGAACCTATCAGCTTCCATTGAGGATACCAAATCCTTCTCCAAGGAGCTA